GAAGTGGCAAAACCATTAAGCATCACTGGACAGAAAGCACTATGTTAGGGAAAGCCATCAGAAATTCAAAAACTCCAGGTGCTTTAAAGTTTTATTTTTGTCATGTGCTTATTTCCACTTTCTTCCCTTGAATCTCTCCACCCCTGGGTCTTACTTCCAAGTGTCAAGCTGCACCACCACTTCCACTTCCACTGCTTAAGTAGGTCACTGCCTACCCCAAGATCTACTCCAGCTTGGAGCAGACAGGCTTAGTAATAGTGAGCCCAGTATATCATATCCTCCATTTCAGTAACATTGTTGCTCATCTTTTAACATGGCTTCTCAAACCCCTATTTTTACTCAACCTCTTTTGTCTTTGAACAAATAGGGTTCTTTCTGTACAAAGTATCTCTCATTAGGGCTGTCCAGGGAGCAATTCCTGATTCTTCAAGTAGCTGGTGCACGTTCCCCCATAATACTTCCGCCTGCCTGTGCTTTTAACATCTGCATTCTCTATGAAATTATAAGGTCAAAGGGACAAACGATTCAATTTAACACAGATCTGAAAAATGGTGAGTACGTAAAAAGTACTGGTCAAATGAATACAAAGCTACAAAATAAAATATTAACTCCTCCCTAAATGACAAAGGAAATAGAATACATCAATATTCTGGCACCCTAGTCTATTGTAATACACAGAAAGACATTGGCAATCCCACTGAAAACATATGCTTCAGGTTCAGTTAAACAAAAAAAAAATGGACAAATTTAAATTCTGAAAGAATGAAAGTATTAAAATAACTAAAACAGGGCCTGGAGAGATCTTGCAGTGGATCCAGGTTTGGTTCCCAGCACCCATATGGAGGTTCACAACCACCTGCTGTTCCAGGGGATCTTATGCCCTCTTCTGGGCTCCCCATTCACATGGTACACATACATACATCCAGATCCACACAAATACACATAAAATAATAAAATATATCTTTTAAAAAATAAGAATCCAAACAGTCCCCCATAATAATTTTTATATGCATAAAAACATTCTTAAAATATATGACTAAATTATAGTCAGGTGAGATGTGAACTGAAGGTAAAATCTGAAATCCCTAATATCTGAGGAAATTTACTAAATATACAAGTCACTAACACATGTTTTCTTATGTTAAGTAGCAAATACTATATCAAAAGAAACATTTTAAATTTAAGAACAGCTCAACTCAAAAAACTAATGTCAAATGAAAGTGTATGATTATAAAAACCAAATTCTGCCATTTTTTTCATTTGTTACTAAGTGATTTTTTTTTTTTTTTTTTTTTTTTTTTTTTTTTTTTTGGGGAAAAAAAAAAAAAAAAACCCACTGTGTAGACCAAGCTGGCCTCGAACTCACAGAGATCCACCTGCCTCTGCCTCTGGAGTTCTGGGAATAAAGATGTGCACCACCATACCTGACTAACTAAACAATTTTTAAAATTAACCAAGCCTCCCAAGAAATTCTTAACTGAAGACATCAACTTAAATCTATCTTAAAAAAAAAAAAAACATAAAATGTATGTTTGAGAATAGTTATACATCCCCTTATTTAAATATTACACAATGAATACATGTGTCAAAATATCACACAGTACTTCATAAGCATTTATCACTGTTAACATCTTTATGTGCAAATAAAAGCTTAAAATTTAAAACATGGAAAAGTTTTTTTTTAATTCTACTTTAGAGACATAAAATATATATGCTACAAATGGTGATATCATAGAAAGAAACCAGATTTATCTGACATTACTATAAAGAGTAATTTTAGTTTTTGAAAAAATGAAACTGATCCTCTAAAGCCTCATTTTGACCACACAGACACCACATTTTACAGATACTGAAATAAAAGGTATTACCATCACATGTATTTAGCTCATATTAATTTAATGTAATATTTTCTATTACTTTTGTATAACCACACAAAGAAATTTAAACCAAATCTACTGAAAAGTTTGATACTTAACAAAACAATGCTTTGTAGTATATATACCCATTGTGGAAAAAGATAAAATGTATGTAAGGTATATTTTTCCCATGGTCAATAGGTTTTCATTATTTCAATTTTCTTCACTGAGATTTTACAACCATGTTTTTATCTGGCACTATATTCAAGTCATGCAAAGTAAAGGCCTGCTTTGGGGAGCAAGCAGTAGTGGGGTGGGGTGTCCATGAGAATTTCAGCATGGTGAACATGTAAACTATCTAACAGCCTAGGAAGGCTTGAAATTTTTCAAGCTTCAGTTGGAACATATAACCTCTACAGGTGGGAGGTGCTAAATTTTCTTTAGTATTCAGTCATATTTCTTTCTACACAATTTTTGCTCTTTCCAGCAAGGGAAGGGGAAAAGGCAAAATACGCAAACCTCATTCTTGCCCAGTTCTCAATGTGAATACAAGGTAAACCACTGCTGATTCAAGTCCCAAGTAAGAGTTTTTGGTAGCTGACCCAACTTTTATCAGCCTCTGCTAAGAACAGTACTACCTGCCTCTTTCATGTACTCTCTGTGACAATGAAGGTTCATGACACATCCTGTCTTTTTGGTCACCTTAAAAACAGTCTCAAGCCACACTCATCAAAATGTAAGGAAATGCTAACGAAAGCCCTCTTCAATTTTCTCTTCTCACTGCATTTTAAAACGCTTGTTCTCACTGCAAACCTCATACATCTCCCTTGAAAACATCCTGAAAATACTACATGCACCAATGAAACTTCATGTTTTCTGCGGAAAATCATTATAATCAGTTCTAAAATATTACAACACACCTAATTTTAAAGAGTACCTTAGGTATACAGTAGTGTGTATATTTTAAATTCACATGTTAAATCAGAATTATATTCTTAATTTTTTAGGCCAAAAAAGGATAAATTCTAAAATAGATTGTTTTTATAAGTATTAAATTATATATTCTTAAAGTACTGTCTTTCCAGATAAAAAGTCAAAGCAGTTT